AAATTTATCAGAATTCTATTGAAATTTAAACCTGCCTTTTTTCTATTTTATAAATATTAATTATTTATTAATGATTTTTAAATGTATTCAAAATTTTCAAAAATGATTTTTTTTGTTGAAATATACGATTCTTTTTATCCATTAGAAATTGAATGTAATAGCATTTGAGATTGCTATGTAATTTCAAAATGTGTTGTTGCTCTAAGAATATAATCAAGAAATAAATATAAAGACGCAAATTTTTTTAAACTGATTTAAACGAATTGTAAAGAATACAGTACATAGTAATCGGGAATAATTTTTATTTTAGTAAAATTCATAAGATTTTATACTTTTTAAATTTTAAATAATTTTTTTATATTGATTTTCAGTATCCAGAAGCATTATTGAAACTGAAACTAGAATTTGAATTTACAAAATTGAATTTTTTTAAAGCTTTCGACTTCATACATACGACTGGTATACGATCCCTTTTCAAATCTCTCTTTCTTCACCATCAGGTCAAATAATCAAGTTACCTGCATGTTATTACGTGACCTATTTATCTACAATAAGTATTTTACAATTTGTTTATTTGAAATTAAATTATTTGGATGAATTATTAAGTATAACGATTATTTAACTGATTAATATGTTAATATTATCGATTAATTAAAATGTTAATATTACTGATTAATTAACCTATTAATATATTAATATTACCGATTATTTTACACAATTATTTACCGATTATTTTACACAATTTTTTATTACCGATTAATATACACAATTTATTTAGTATTTCACAATTTTTTTATTCAATATACTATTATTCTAAGGAATTATTAAATATACCAATTATTAAACTGATAAATATATTAATAATGATTAGTTTACCGATTAATATATTAATATTACTGATTAATTAACCTATTAATATACTATTTATCGATTATATGTGTCAAAATTTATTTAGTATTTCAAAATTAATGCATTCAAAATTAAACTATTATACTGATGAATTATTGAATATACCAATTATTTAATTGATTAATACATTAATAATACCGATTAATTGACCTGTAAATATATTAATAATGCCAATTAATTAATCAATTAATATATTAATATTATCGATTATATATTTCACAATTTATTTATTCAAAATTAAACTATTATTCGGATGAATTATTAAATATAACGATTATTTAACTGATTAATATATTAATAATAATTAATTAACCCATTAATATATTAATAATGCCGATTAATTAACCGATTAATATATACATATTAGCGATTAATTAACCTATTAATATATTAATAGTACCGGCTAATTAACCGATTAACCGATTAATATATTAATATTGCTGATTAATATACCAGTTAACTACTAAATATACAACAATTCTGTTGCAAGAAATTAATTCGAAAAATATTTCTTAGACAAAATTGGAATAACCTTACAGTAAAAATTACACAATAATAAAACTAATACTACACAGAATATTTCCATAATTTTTTTAATTATAAATATTCTAATTAGAATATTCTAAGAAATAGTCTTCTGAAGATTCTTAAGAAATGTCCTAAAAATTTTTGTGTCACCGTTCAGAAAAGGATAAGTATAAATAGAATGATAGATCTGTAAAACGGAATTGTATTAAGAACAATAAAATAATAATAATAATAATAAGTCTGAGAGATTCTAAGATCTTGAGATTCTAATTCAGTGGTACAAACAGTGGAAACCGGGCCCCTTCGCAGATAAGGCTTTTTAAAAAGAACGAAATGTGACGGAAACGAACAAAAAAAGCTCCGCGATATTTCTGGACGGATTCCACACAATGTGTTATAAACAGCCCCATTTAATTTATACAACAGCAACATCCGGTTATTTTGGGTTTTTTTTTTTTATGATGAAGCATCCAATTAAAGATCTGTTCATCTCAGATTCAAGTGCGTAAAACAAAATAATGGACCCTTCTTAGAAAAATATCAGAAGTTTTCTTTTTTTTCTTGAACAACTCCGAGTTGCTACCATTTCACAGCTAATGTTGTAGCCCCACTAATATTGATGGTCTAATTTATGATAGTTTAAATTAAAGGATATTATGTAAAAAGAAATGTAACGCTAATTTTTGTGTGTGTGGGTGAGTAAATTAAGTAAATTTTTTCGCATTGGGGACAACATGATATTCGCGAATAGTCCACTTCAGACAGAGGGTGAGGTTTTGTTTTGTTTGTCGCTCTATGGTCATTTTGGACACTTCAGCTAATTAGACCGGAACCTACAGTTTAACGTGGATTCCGAACCCTAACAAACATCCATGCCACCGCCAGGATTCGAACCTGAATACTGTGGCACAACATCCCAGACAGCTAGCCAATTGGCCATCAGCCCGCCAGTGGGATTGGTGTTGTCTTCAATGATAAATGCCGCCCATTTATGGATCGTATGCAAAAAAAAAGTGACTGCAACTGTGTGCGGTGACTTACTAACTGAGTAAAAAGCAAGCAATGAAGTTAAAAAAAATATTTTACATTAAAATAAGATTCGATTCACTAAAAATTATGCCACACTTTTATTTGATAATATATTATAAAGATAATTAATCTCCGTTTTTCTTCGACACAGCAAGCTGGAACTGATGGTCGAGTGGCTAGCGCTCTGATGCTCGGTACCATAGGTTCTCTGAGTTCGAATCTCGGGGGTGCCATGACTGTTTGTATTGGTTCGAATTCCTTTTAGATCCCGGTCTAATTAGCCCTTGTGAGCAAAAAATGGACAGTAGAGAGGCAATCCAATCCAGGAGACACTCAAATTCGAGTCAGTTACGCCTAGAAGTCCTTTCCTCAGTACTAATCGGTAGCTTGTTCGTAGCATATATAAGTGGGGCAGCTGACATACAAGAAGTGGTAAATATATTATTATCATCATCATTAGTGGTACAATAGCCCCATGGCGGGCCAAGGTCGTTTGCCTACAGACAGATTTTGAGGCAGGAGATATTTTCTTTTTACGGGAGATATTTTCTTTTTTTTCGAGGTAGGTTATCCGCCCAACACCGCCCACAGTCATATTAGACCGGTACCTACGGTTTAAAGTGGTTTCAATCACTACAAACATCCATGGCACCGCCGGGACTCGAATCTGAAACCTGTGGCATCGAGCGCCAGAGGGCTAGTCACTCGTCCATCAGGCCGCAATAAATATATTAATGAATAAAAAAATACTTATATGAATTAAAGAATACTTCGTTCTTCATATATTTATATATTTATAAATTTTATATACTTATTAGCTATATATTTATTGAAAAGAATATTCTTTCCATAATACATTAAAAACTTACCTAAAACTAACTATTTAAAATTTTATACATTTATGTAGTATCATTATTAGCATGAAATTTTGTATTTTTTTTTTTTTCAAGAAATGGATTCTATAACTTTTGAAAATCAGATTTTGTGTTCGAAAAATTGAATTTCACGAATATGGATTTATTTTTAGCCAGTAAAAGATTTGACATATTTCCATGTGTTTTATAAGAAAAATAAAAAATAAATAATATTATTGAATTACCTTGAAAAGCTATGTGAATTAAATTCTTATTTTTTATTATTATTATTTTGTTTTGAAAATAGTTAAAAATAAAATATTAAGTTTAAAATCCATTCTATTCATTTTATGTTTTTAAATTAAGCAGCTATGCTATTAACTGCCGTGGTGTGTTATTATCCCCATTATTCCCATAATTGTCATTAATTAAATTTTATAATAAATAAGAAGTAATTGCAATAATATTTTTTTTTAGTAATTTATTAAGTAAAATACCTTTCCTGGAATGTACCAATAGTTACCAATTTTACTTCAGTATTTTAATTAAGAAATTAAAGTTTTTTTTTTTAAAAATCTATTTACATTTTTGGAAAATATTTATTTTAATTTTTGTAAGAAAAATAAATAAATAAATTATTGTTTACGCTCAAAAATTTCAATTTAAAACGTATGTTGACTGAAATGAAAGTAACCAAGAATGTAAACAAAGAATTCAACTCAAATGTTTTGATAGACTTTATGTAGTGGCGCCATCTGTTGCTGTAATATAAAAATAAAAACTCTCACAGTAAACAACAATGGGAGTTAATTTTAGTTGAATATTTTTAGAGGGATTAAGGTCAAAGACCTAAATTCAAGCTTTTTAAGTTTCAGAGCGTTAAAGGATAATGGGATAATGAATGGAGGTTACGTAAGCGCCAAGTTTCTAAAATAAGCAGATGAAGTGAAAATTTGCTTTGTAAAGAAAGAATGTTTCAAGAGATATGAGAACGTTGACATTAACTCTCGGATGTTTAGTGAATAAAGAATTAAAGTTTTCCTTGTTAAAATAAATCAATTTAATTTTTAAAAATTTATTTCCAAAAAATTCTTGGTTTGATAAATAATTTATCATTTGTTTATAAATTTTTTTTCCTTCCCCCCTTTTTTTGTTTAGGAAGTAAATATATTTTTTTATTTAAGTAATTTTATTAATTAAAATTATTGTTAATTATTTTTTGATTTTATTTAATTTTTTATTTAAAAAATTTATTTTAATGTAAACATTTATTTGGTGTAGAGTTAATTATTTATAAATTATTTTCATGATATGTTAATTAGAATAGAGATTGTTTTTATTAATTTTTTAAATGCTATATGTTATTGAAAATGTTTTAATTAGTTATATTAATGTTATAATTAGTTAACAAAAATTTGTAAGAAAAAAATAACAACTGTGAAATCAAATATAAAAATACTTTAAATATTTTGTATTTTCCAAAATGTTCATTTTGATCTAAATTTTATAATATTTTCACATTATTTGGAATATTAATGTGTACATATTTCTTTGAATGGATGATATTTAAAGGTAAAGATAAAATATTTTGGTGACGAAAGTTGAATTATATTTCAAAATAAATGTAACAAAAATATGGCAACTTATAGATTTGGAAAAATAAGTATTATGTAGTTTATAAGTGGCCATACCGTGCTACAGACCTCTTATCGGTTCTCGTTAGATCACCGAAGTCAAGCATCATTGGGCGCGGTCCGGTACTTGGGTGGGTGACCACCTGGGAGCACCGCGTGCCGTTGGCATTCGCAAATTTGGGACCTGAATGGCCAAGTGTCCACAGCGCTCTGGCGCTCGGTGCCACGGGTTTCGGGTTCGAATCCGCCGTTGCCATGGAATGTTTGTAGTGGTTCGGAATCACTTTAAGCCGTAGGTCTCGGTTTCCTATGACTGTAAAAGAGCGTCACTGAGCCAAAGTCCAGACTTCTACCTACGGGTGCTCCCTCACAACAGAAGCTGCTTTGACTTATTTTTTATAGAAAGTATTATAATATATATGCTTTGCGTATGCGTTTAATAATATAATGCTTTGACTTATTTTCCGTATAAAGTAAACAATAGTTAAAGTTAAAGTTTCGTTTAAGTTAAATTTTCATCATTTTGTTTATGTAACTAATGATGAAAATTTAAGATTAACATATTTAAAATTTAATTTAAAATTAAGATCTTTGTTAACTTATTTTGCTGGAATGTTAACAGAGTATGTAGAGTATTTTTAACAGATAATGTAACAGAATAAATAGTTAACAGATAATGGACATTTTATAAGTATAGAGTTTAAAAGTGATATTCACATTTAAATATGATTTTTTTTTTTCATATCACAGTGATGTAGTGATATAGACTAATGCGTAAATCAGACATTTTTACCATCCTTTTAAGCAAATTATATTTTATTTATAAATTCATGTAATCTCTATTATGAAAGTTATGGTAAGTACATTTTAAAAACCAGAATTGCTGATTCTATAAACATTTGAAAGAAAAAAAAATTAAATTTAGAATAAAAAAAAAAAAAAAAAAAATAAAAAACGGAATATATTATTGCAACAACGCAAAGCATGTGATAATGGAGCTACATTATATTTGCAAGATCTTAATATAGGATTATTTAATGATACTCTCCCGTAACTTGTTAAAGAAATTTATTCAAAAATTAATCAACTTTGACAAGAATGTGTGAAAAATTAAAACTTAAAATTTCTATGAGGTGTTATCAATTAAGGAAGAATTACTAATAATTTTAGGAATTATTTCTATCATAAAACAAGTACAAATGACATTAATCTTTGACATTGTTAGAAGTTCAATTTCTTCGCACGCATATTTTGCAGTATCAAATAAATCAATTAAATAAATAGAAGTTCAAATAAATCAGTTTTAAATCAATTTTAAAACGAAATTATTAAAAATTTCCATTGGAAAACAGCATGCAAAATTAACTTACCTTATTTGCCTGTTGTGAACTTGGTGGCCATTTCTGATGGTTCAGTGCACTTTGGTCCAATGTAGTGTCATGGTCTGCCAGCCCAGAAGTTAAATCTCTGCAATATCCGAGGGCTCCAATGATGCTCATAGCCACTTTGTGCTTACACCATCTCTCCTTCCTCTTCTCAAGGGATTTGCAGTTTCAGTTTTCTCTCTTAATGTGAAGAGTATTCTCAGTCAGGACTCCAGGGGTGTGGGCATGCCAAGCATCTCATCGATGTCCTGGCAGAAGTGTGACAGACCTGTTTGCAGTTTAGTCCAGGCGCAATCTGACTTGGCTGGCTTCAGCCACTTTCGGCTCACAGTAGTACGAAGTCTCGTCGCAGTTCTGCCTCGTCTGCCCATTTGATTTGGCGTTCGATCATTCGATCCGAAATCCTCGAAAGTTTCAAAAGCAGATTGGGTCAAATCTTTGTCCATCAAGAGTTGGTCAATGTCATTACAGCCGCTGATCAGGACATCCTTTCTACTCTTGTCGTCGTGCCTCTGATGTTCTGCGGCATCCTGATCCGGTGGAATATTCATATTGAGCAAATCGGTCTGGTTGCAGGTCTCTGAAATCCAAGGTCTCTTTGTGAAGACTCTTCGTTCAGAGACTTAAACCTGAAGCTTTACAAAATTCTCTTAATGATGTCCGCGCGTGGTATTTCATCCAGAAACACCTTCTGCATCGAAAAATCGCTGTTCAAAGGATACATATTGCATCCACAAACTGCTACTCTCCTCAGCATTTGATGTTACATTTCATAATCATTGGGAGCATCCCCAGCTTGATGATGGATTCAAGGAAGTGACAAGTGCTTCCCGATAAGGGGTGCTTCTGTAGGATCTGTCCAAGGAATCTGTGAAGACACCTTCTGTATCCACAAATATGCCATCTGTATACAGGACCAGAAAGATCGCTAACCTGTTTCACTTGGTGATCCGTCCTCCGAGGTGTAATAATTGTCCTCCACCGGTTCTCCTCCACCTTGTACTCCGCCTGCCTTTCAGCAATATTTCCGCCTCTGTTTCTGGAAGGTCCACGTTAAGCACCGACTTCCACCAAAGTCTTTGCTGATCTCTTGAGTTAGCTTGAACTTTTCCTTTTCCCCGTCTGTTGTCCTTGAACACGGGTGGATGAGTAACTGGAACCGCCTTTCCATGGCATTGGGAAGGTACTTTTTTGTAATTGATTGGTACTGTGTCGTACCAAGAATGGTGCCTTGATGATATAAAGCTCCTGGCAATCCTGCGTTCTTCTTGTTCTTGATGTTTACGTGAAATCCTTCTGGATCACACCTGAAGGCAGTAAAACATAAGGAACGTTACCATAATGCTTATCATCATTATAGATACACAAACATTCATTATAAAAGCATCGAAACACTAAAATTAAAATTAATGTTTCCATAAAAATAAAATATAATTTTGTTTTCGTCGTCGTCGTATCACCTCAGGAGAACAATTCTAATTCGATAATAGTCATCCTGATAATTTTGTCAAAAAGCATTTTGTATCAGTATAGTTTATTCAACAGCTTCCCAAGACTATTGTGTTTTCCAATATTGCTAACAGTACCAAGTAACTACAGGCCAGTATAAATAAATGCTAAATGATAATTTATAATAATAAAGCATAGTAAATAAAGAAAGCTGTCTTTCGGCCTGTTTTCATCTGTTTCTTTCTTTAGACTATCTTTTACTTGCATGTAGGCATTTTATTTTTATTTTGTTGTTGTTGTTGTCATATCTCTTGAAGGTACAAGAATCAAAACTCATCGTGGTGCTCCAATAATGGCTGAGTCGGTCATCAAATTGGAGTATAAATCCTCTTCCGAGGGATGGTCAGACAATGTTTAGCGCGCTGCAACGGCTGGACAATCACAGACTTGAGGAAGAATAAACCATTGCTCAGGGCAAATGCCACATTTTTGGTATTTTTCAACATGCCATCAGCAGAAATTCTCTTCTCCCTGTTTTTGTGTGCTGCTTTCCTCCTTAGTCTCGTGAGAGTAGTGGCTGCTTCTGTCGACATTTAATTTTCTTTGTAATTTGGTATTTAGTTTTTGGTTCCTTTGCTAGAAAGTGAATCATAAATTTAGATTTTACCACAGAATTTGCATCTGCAAGGGAAGTAGAATGACAGACTGATACAGACTTCAGACATTCTTCGCCAAAGAATCTGCAATTTCATTAGGGTCCAACTCCACGCTGAGGAAAGATCCATTTGCAGGATACACCTTCTGAGCAAGCAGTGGATTTGTTCTAAAAGGAATCACTGTGCTCAAGATCCTACTTGGAAAAAGAACATTAGGAGTCTATAATAAGTCAATTCAGACCTTGAGTCGGTGAAGATAATAATTCCATTCGTTTTGTTGTGATGAGTAGACTCAGATAAGCTGCTTGAAAGTGCCTTTTGTATGGTTATAGTATTTTTATTATATTTATAGTAATATTTATTTATTGCAAATAAATTATTGTGAAACGTAATAAATTTTGGAGTAGTATTTAAAGTTCTTGGTGATGTCGAAGATTGAAAATAAGTTGATGAAGCTAGTGACACCATGTAAAAATAAAACAAAAAGAATACAAGAAGAAGAAACTATTCTCAGTCCAGTAATAGCTCCAGGACAATGTCAAAAGCAATAAGAGAAGGGTGGGTGGGTGGGAGAAAGTTAAAGAAGAAAAATGGTTTGAATCGGAAAAATTGATTTGGGATACCAACATTCCAACTTGTGAGTTTAGACTTAGTCCTTCTGGAAGGTACCACAGTAGTTGGATGATCCAAGAAACCTCTATAGAAATAAATTGTTAAACTTTGAATTGCTGTATAAAATATAGGAACTTAAAATCTAGATTCTCAAGATACTAGCTTAGTTTGCGTTCAAAAGTTCTATGAAAAATAGCTATTTGCTATATCTTCCGAAATTGTTCGTTAAGATATAATTTGAATGATCCCAGCTCAATAAATTCTCCTCACCTGCACGGACAGCATTTCATCAGTAGCTGCCACTTCAGACGCTGCTGCAACTTCATCCTGCGAATCCGGGAGATGACGCTATCGTGGTGCTCGCCTGCCGGTCGACTGCGTACCCTGGCTAGTCCGGAACTCAAATCGGTCTCTTCTTCTTCTCCGATTTCGTCCCTCGTCAGGTAGTGCCACTTCCTTTCTGGCACGGTGGCACGGCGCACGTTTTCTCGTGCTAGCCACGTAGCCCTGCTGTGCAAGTCTGTCTCTTAAGCCTCACGGTTGCAAGAGGGATTTTCGAACGATCATCTGGAAAAATAAAAATTGGGTCACAAATTATCCAGATAGTGGTAATCTGGAAATGTCAAGGGAAGGCTACACATGGTGGGAGCCACAAAAAAAACTTAAAAAAAAAAATTTGTACCTTTGCATCAATTAGAAATTAATAACAAGACACGGAAAAACTTAGTTGGTGGAAAAAACGACAATATCTGGTATTTTTAAAATAATAACTAATAATTCTTTAGTAGCGCGTCAAAGTGGAAATGAGGTCAATATGCTAATTCTGTAGACCAGCATGTTTTAACACATTAGCCTTGATGAGAACAGGAAGAATTAGCAATCTGACTAAATGAAAAAATACTGAATCTTCAGAGTACCACTTGCACCGCTGGAGGTATTTGTTCAAAATTATAGTGACTAAAATGGTTTAAACAGGGTGTTATGGTCTTCAAATAAAACACGCCGTACCAGTGGACTCAAAACACCAATATCAAAAACCAAACGCATTCTATCGATATTTAC